CGCCCTTATTCTCTACGGAAATATTCATTTGGAAATATGCATATACAGAATATTGGTATTCAAGTATGAATATTTTCATTTAAACAATAACTATGCATTGACTTTATGAATATGAATATATTCATTTAAAAAATGGAAATTTAATGCATATATTCATATGCCTCGTGAAATATGCATATATGGAAATATTGAACAATGCCCTAATTTTCCTCACACATGAACCCAACGTAATCTTCGAATGCTCTGTACAAGCCTACACACATTCCCCCCCTTTTCTTTTTTTTTATTATTGTTATTTGAATAGAAATATCAGCAATATATAAGGCAACAAAATAGCAAAAACTTTGTAGCCACTGATATTTAGTGAAAAATAAAATAAAATTCAGCCTCACTGATAATTTTATTCACAGAGGTGATTATATCTCTGTGACACAAAATTCTACCACATGAAATCTAAAATATCTATCCTTCCATATCACTTTGTAATTCCAAGCAATCTCTTAAACATAAATATACATGCTAATCCTTTAAACAATGCATGCTTATCAAAATGCACATAACTATACAATCCTATAACCAATATGTGATATTCAGTGACAATCAGTGGTATTCACTAAAATTCACTGCAATAATACCAATAGAGGTTTATTGTTTTGAAAATATGTGAATGAGATAAAACATATACTTCACGTATGCCTCACCATTAAAGATATACTTGAATATATATGGATCCAGTATAAGATAAGCGTGAGCAATATAAGATAAAGCAATATGGAAGATGGAACCTGTTTGCTCTAATACTGTTGTTAGCAAAATTTGATGAAACGTGGATAACATCAAACCCGAGATCAGAGAAGGAGTGCTATGAGGTTGCTGATCGCAGAACCCAGATTTTTATCCCTTCGCCTTTTAGAGAGATGTACACCTTTTCCTTGCTATATACATCATCTCTCTGGCTTCTCATTTTATAGAGAAAGAAGGGGTACAATTGTATTTCTCCAATGAGTTTCTGAGAAACAAAAGGGTTCCCTGATCTCCAACAGATTTCTGAAGGGTTACGTTCATATTGATACTACCGTTGGACGAGAGGTTACGATCATATGGACGTTGGACCATATGACCGTTGAAGATATTGAATTTCTTACAAATGTAGGCTAAGACACGAAAGGTCTCATAGCTATACATGTCAAGAAATGCATCATCCACATAGTTTATAATTAGATCATTAGATTATTGTGATAGTATCATGCTATATGGATCTCTAGGCTCTGATGCACCATCTACAAGCTCTATAATTGAATCGATAGATGATTGTGATGCTCGATAATTGGATCAATAGATGATTGGGATAGAACCATGGTATATAGATCTCTAAGTTCTGATGGCACCTGATCCAAGGAAGGAGGGGAAAGAAATATAACAAATCAAATAAATAAAACACAAAAATAAATAATGAGAGAATATGCCATCTCGTAGGATCTGCAAAAAATCTAATCCAAATTTATTTCTTTATCAGATTCAAGAAAAAGAAAAAGCATATAAAGAGACCATTTACTTTGGGTACAGGGAGGTCACAATCACTCTTGTTCACCAGATTTCAAATTGGGCAGTTGCAAGAGCATTAGACTCAAACTTAAAAAAAAATTTCTTGAACTTGGTGATAAACCCTAAGCCATCAAATCTGACATCTAATGGCTATGAATAATTGTGGCATCCTTGTAAAAAATATAAATGGTTGTATAGTATACAATCAACAATAAAAAAAAACTGTTATTCTCCTTACTCCCTTTTTTTTTTTGCCGTATAGTATGCAATCAACAACAAAAAAAAGCTTTTATTCTCTTAACTCCCTTTTTTTTTTCTCTTGCCTAATAGGTACATACTTATAGAATCAAATCTTAACCCTTCATCTTTAAAAAATGAAATTTCAAGTATACTCATCAATTATCTAAAAAAAAAGGCATAAACATCACTAAAGAATATTAAAAACCTAATATAGCCTCAAACTGCTTTTAATAAAAATTAAAAATCTTAATTAGATTAATATCCCCTCTGACTAGTAATCACTCCTCCCATGACAAGTTATCAAATAAGTTTTTTTTTTGTCGGGCCATTTTAGAAATGGAAAATGGTTTGATAGGGCTGAAGCCCTATTAAAATAAGTAAAGCTTCACATCATAACTCATCGAAATTTGCAATTCAAGTATTGAAAAACCTTTACATCGATGATCTTGGCTTGAACATTATGGTTATGGAAAACAATTAGGATTTTAAGATCTAAAATAATGTACATTATAATAAATTATCTACGCCGTCCATTTTGCCTTAAAAATAAGTTTTCATAGATTTGCAAGATCCATACCATTTTTGAGTTTCAAATTTCGTTGTCGGTGTTGGAAATTGATTTTAGAGCCATCGTGGAGATTTTTGTACTGAAAGTGCCTTCCAAACAAGGAATCTAGGTGAGGCTTTATTTTGGAGGCTTTATAGAAACTTCATCAGGCCTAGGCCTCATAGAAACTTCATCCTTCAAAAATATTTAGTAGTTTTCAAATACACTATTCTCTTGTTATAGATATTTAGAACATTAAATGATCGTGAGTCAAGATTTCCAAATCCTATAAATTTTCCATATCCCCTTTATCAAACACTCTCCAAGGCATCCGGGCTAGACTAGGTCATCGCCATTAGAACACAATAACATGACGCTTTTTTCCATTTAGGAAGGTAGATGAAATAATGGCATTATTCGACTATTATAGCTGTGATAATTTTTTCTTAAAACCTTGCTTTTAACTTCTAGCAAACTTTTCAAGCCGAAGCCGATGCACATCGGTGTGCGGGGATACCTCAAATAGGGAATATCGACCCCTAGTACAGCCAAAATATATCATACTCTCACAGGAGTATATACTGTTCATGTACTGCCCCAGGTAAAACCCCATCTAAAATTAATTTTAGGATCCCAAATTTTGGGGACATAACCTCCCAACCCATAGATGATCATCACAGGAAAAGACTTCCTAATTGCATGCACTACATATTTTTTAAAAAATAATATCTCAAGATTGAATAGAGAACATCTAATTTTTAAAGTGAGATTCTACAAAACTCAAATTTTAATATTTTTCCTTTAAGAATATTCATCTGGTTCTTAAAATTTTAAATTGAAAACTAGCTTTCTAAATAGGTTTTCTAAGGGAATAAATTCAAACTAAACCCCCGAAGGAGCATAGTATACGTGCCCCCTCAAAGGTAAATCCATTTTACTTGAAATTTGTGAGGGAGAGGCATATTACTATGAAAATGAAATAGGGCCTCACTTCAAATCCTAATTTAGAAAGCACTTTTGATAATGGAAATCTCCATAATAGCTTTAAAATCAATTTCCGACATTGACAACAAAATTTGAAACTAAAAAATGGTATGGATCTTATGAATCTATAAACACTTATTTTTAAGGCAAAATGGACGATCTAGATAATTTGTTACAATATACGATATTTTTAGAGTTTAAAATCTTTTTTTTTTTTCACAACCATAATATTCAGACTGAGATGATCGCTTTTCAAGATTTGAATGGTAATTTTCGATGAGTTGTAAGGTGAGGCTTTACTTATTTTGATAGGGCTGCAGCCCTATCAAACCATTTTCCTATAAAGTTATAGACAAACCAGGAGTTACAAAAGCTATGGACTTCCCAATAAATAAAGTTTTGTGCATGGCCTTTTTCTTTCACACCATTCAAATTTCATTCATTCCAAATGCTTTTCAAATTCAAATTAAGGCAAAGTGGGGTTGTCCGCACATAGACAACTGGCCCTTTCGTCAATCCCTCGTGTTGGCTTCATCTTGCAACTCAAGGCCAAGACGAGCAATCAACACGTGTAGATCAATCCGGGCCGTCCAATCTCTATGGCCTCTCCAGTCATCGTCATCGGATAAACTTGCGAGTTCTGACTAAGCGCTCATCCTCTATCTTTAAAATCAAACAATCTTTCGCCTTCCACAAAATTTCGCCAAAATTTCAATCGAAATTCAACCGAGGAACCGAAATTTCGGCACCCAAATAAAGATACCCAAAACTTGTGGAAATCCGGTATATGCCCATGGAAAGAATAATTCCTTCCAAAACCATTAATAGGGGTGGCAATGGGTTGGGTCCGTATGGACCTTGACCCAAACTTGAATAATATTGGAGTTCAGGTTTTGGATTTGTACCTAATCCGTTGGGTACAAAAAATTGAGCTCATATCTATATTCGTTGGGTCCCAAATCTGATCGGGTCCATTGCCACCTTCATTATAAATTTATGTTTTTATTTTGTATTTTTTACCATCATATATCTATATTATTGACAATAAACTCACAATCATCCACCATATCAAGCCATTTGATTTGTCATTAATAGCTAAAAATAACTAAGAGCTCTTAATATATGCCGCCCTTGATATAATCAAATGAATAAGACTTGAAGTATTTTATCTTCAACAATATTGGACTTGAACCCAAACTCCGGCCTGAATAGTATTCGAGTCCAATAATTGAACTTGAATCCACCTTTCAGGTTCAAAGATTAAATCTATACCGAGACCCATGTTGGATATACCCGACGGGTCGTAAAGACTAAGTCCATTGCACCCCTAAAATCCAATGGAATTAATAGCCGAAATTTACAACGAAATTTCGGGACATAATTTCGGCAAGTTTTTAGAGAGCCATGGGAACGCATACACGAAGAGGCCTTTTGAGCTCCCTCAAACGACGGGGAAATTCAGTCATCGAGTAAATGCGGGGCAGTTTCTAAATGGAATTTCGTTATTTCGTACCTTTATTATTATTTCCACCCAAAACAAGGTGAAAATCCTCTTCAAGGGTAACACCACCTGGTTTATAGGTGGAAGTATTAAAATAAGGGTGGAAGTAGCTAAAATATGGTGCGAATAGTGTGTTTTTTTAAAAATAGATTTATCGGTGATAGGGGTATTTTGGTCATTTCGGACCCGTTTTAAAAATAGGATGAGGGTTCGCTGAGCTTCACAATATCTCCAATTTCTCGTCCTCTTTGTTCGCATTTGCGAGCGAAGAAATTTTCCATTTCTATTTTTTTCTGTGGATCCAAGGCCTGAAACTTCCTCTCTTTTTTCTTCGTTTGAATCCAGGTAACATTGATCCATCCATGGCTTTTAATTTCATTGATTACGTGATTTGAATCGAATGTTTTATTGTGATCTAGGGTTTGTGGATCGTTTAGGAAAGGCGCTTTTTTTTCGGGTTTTTTATTTTTCTGTCACGATCTGAATGGTCAATGGTGTTTTCTAGAGTTCTTTAGGGTTCTTAGACTGGATCTGTGTACCGAGGCATGATTTTTATTTGAAAGGACGATTCGGAGTGACAGTAACAAGTTTTTGGCTTCAATATGGGCCACAGATTTGGGAGGATCTAAATCTGAACTGCTTGAGAGCTTGATCTGGAGCTTCATGTGTAGGAATCAGATATTTGCAACATTTGTTAGAAGAAAAGTCAAATTATATAGATGAATTAGCATATGATTGCGTTTTTTATTTTTATTTATTTTTCATTAATGAAACATCATTGAGCTTGATTAGGAGTTATTTGATGATATATGATCTTTCATTTGGCCTTTTCCCTGATGAATCATACATTATGGTTACATTATATGATTTTCCAATAGTTTTTTGAGAAAAGGTTAACTTGATTTTCCAATAGTTTTTACCTTTATTAGAGAAAAATGTAGTTTTACCACGAGTTTTACCTTTTTGCAGTGAGCAGAAAGGCACTCTTATTTCTATTGGTGACTATAATTTCAATAATTTGTATAGGAATGTGCAAGCGCGAATCCTATAATTGAAAATAAACAAACATAGTCAGAGGTAAAAAAAAAAATGGTTGAGCGGGCTCTAACTGTAGCTAAAGATACTTTTCTGAAAGTAAGTTTTTCTTTTTGAATTTATACTCCTGTTGAAGAATTTGTTAGAGAAAGGATTTCTCCATTGTGTATAATGCGTTGATGATGACATTCTAATAATCCAAATTGTTAGAAAGTATCTCACTGTAAATTCTCATTACTTGTTTGTTTTCTTGCTCCTTATTGTAGAATCCTTTCTTTGTTACCCATTATTCTCTGAAAATGTCACCTGCCGAGTCTTCTCGTGAGGAGAATGTGTACATGGCAAAGCTCGCCGAACAGGCTGAGCGTTATGAGGAGATGGTTGAATTCATGGAAAATGTTGCGAAAACAGTAGATGTTGAGGAGCTCACTGTCGAAGAGAGGAACCTCCTATCTGTTGCGTACAAAAATGTCATAGGAGCACGTAGGGCCTCATGGAGAATTATTTCTTCGATCGAACAAAAGGAAGAGAGTCGTGGAAATGAGGACCATGTTGCCATCATTAAGGAGTACAGGGGAAAGATTGAATCTGAGCTTAGCAAGATCTGTGATGGCATATTGCGTCTCCTCGATTCTCATCTCATTCCTTCCTCGACTGCTGCTGAATCTAAGGTGTTTTATCTTAAGATGAAGGGGGACTATCACAGGTATCTTGCTGAGTTTAAGACGGGGGCAGAGAGGAAGGAGGCAGCTGAGAGCACTTTGGTGGCTTACAAATCTGCTCAGGTGGGATGGGTTATTGATAAAAAAATTCTTAAGAGACAGGTTTCTTGAATCATTTGTCAAAATAAATATGGTTTTTGTCTTTAATGAATGTCAGAACGTAAAATTGGGTTTCCCAAAACCTCTGTAAGATACAGGTTCTTTTAATCATTTGTCAAACATAAATATGGAATTTGTCGTTTGTGAATGTCAAAGCATAAAATGGCTCTTTCAAGTACAAAAGGATGGGTATTTTCAATCTTCTTTTCAAAATTAAGATGGATTCTCTGAATCTACTGACATTTGAAACTTTTTTTTTTTGTTTTTCTTCTTGGAGAATGACTGTTTATGTATAACAATGGAAGCAGTGTTTTGAACTTGGTAATTTGGGCTTCGATTTGCTTGATTTGCGTAGACCTAGTAGGTTGCTGGGTCTGTGCAAAATGCCTAGGAGCAATTGGTGTCTAACCATTTCCTGAGGTTACTGTTTTAGTTTCACATGAGATTTGTTGGCCGAGTCTCATGTGACTCAGCTGAGATGGATCAGGTGACTTGGGCTATGGTCCTGGCCTGTTCCCAGGCCGAGCTTGTGTTTAAAATCATTGAGTGGAAGTGTTGCTTTAACCTTGTTGTTTTGTTTTCATTTTGTTGGGAACAGGATATTGCTCTTGCAGAACTCACTCCTACCCATCCTATAAGATTGGGCCTTGCTCTTAACTTTTCGGTGTTCTACTATGAGATTTTGAATTCACCGGATCGGGCATGCAACTTGGCCAAACAGGTACTTCGCTTATTTTCTTTCTTTTAGTTTTATTTTTTGCATTAAATAATCTCAGCTTATTGTTTCCTTTTGTCTTGTGAGGACTCTCTTTCTAGAATATGTTTTGGGCTAAAATCGTTAGCCCCCAGATTCTGTGCAATTAATTTGCTTGAGTTGGCTATTGGATGTGCTAGTTATTTTCTAACTTTCTTGGAACTGCTTGTTGTTTCTTTGTGTCTTTACACTATCGTGACTACTATCTATAGCATGGATTTTTTTTTTGTGATTGTTATATATAGTATGAAATTGGAGGTACTCCTCTTAAATGAGTTACAATCCAGGAATGATCTGCAGCAAAACTCTTTATCGTATTTTTTCAATTCGGGACAGCAAAAGTCCTTTGGTTCTAACTGAATTAGTCTATGTGCATATGAGGCTTGAAAATAATATTGATTATACTGGTTGGAATTGCTTTTTTTTTTTTGTAAGGTTTGTCCCCTTGTTCTGATCCTCCCAATCTCTGGAGTTTGGAGTTATAGATGGTTAAACCTTGGTTCTTCCCCCATTCTAGAGGGTTTACTAACCTTACTGAACTTGCCACGCTAGAATTCACATCGCATGTTCTCCATAATAACCATGCTGCAAAAAGGCTAAAGTTGAAGTTGCACCTTAGTCTTTTTTTCTCAGTTTACTATACGGTTGGTTATTGTGTGAATCAAATTAATATCTTTCCTAACTTAAGTTGGACCTAATTTGAACCTGCAAACATGTTTCTTCTGGCCAGATCGGTGAGTGTTGTTTTATTTTCCATGAGTAATTAGCTTCTCTATAGAGCATCTAAAACTATGATTGCATTTTCTTCTTTATTTTTCAATGTTCTCTTGCCTTGTGGTGTTTTTTGGAGCAATACATGCCATGCCTTTTTCCATAATTTAAAATTATTTCCTTCAAATTATTTTACAGTTTTGATTCCAAAATTACGTTCTTGTTTGTGCCCCAAGAGATCAGTGGATTCGATTTCTGATTCCTTTATTGAACTGTGCTTATGATAATTGCTGAGTTTTCCAATACTTCTTCTGATTTTCACTGAAACTTCTAATCTTATTCTACTAATTCATCAATGAAAATTGCAGTACATGAAAAAGGCTCAAACTGTGCTATCCATATCATTACCCCATCGATATCATTACCCTGTCCAAATTTTTGTCTAGTCTCTCAAAATCTTTCATTTTTGTTCATATGAATTTTAGGTGATATTGAGGAACTATATATTGAAATTTGCATAAAAAGGAGTTGAAAGATTTTATTGATTTCATTTTTTTACTAGAAGTCCTGTGCAATATGTTGTTTGCCTCAGATTTAAACTGCTGGCATTTAACCATGGGAAAATGCAGTTATTTGCATTTGCAGTCATGAGATCTGCACAGCTATGTTGAAAGATGACACCTTTGATAAATCTTTTTGATCATCACAAAGTATTATATGTTGCACTTTTCCCTTTCATCAGTTCTGTTTTCCTACTTCCAAAATTTATAATGGAGCAAGCACTTAATAGATACAATTTTCCATACATAAATTGTTCATGGAACATCCTTTTACCTGCTGGAATACATGTGGTGATTGGTTGATATTGGAGGCTATCAGTGAAGTCTATGTTGCATAGGGAGTATGTGTGTGAGTGTCTAAGATGGGTACGGGCTGTTGAATTTGTCGTGCCATCAAGAGAATTCGGCACCACGGCTATATTTTGAAGCAATGTTTTTTAACTGGCCCCGGGCTCGGACTGCCCTGGCCCGCACCGAGCTCGGAGTTGGCCAAGTAGTTTACAGGATCAAAATGCCCTAAGAAATAAAAAGTTCAAAAAATAAAAACAAAATAAAAAATGGAAACTAAAACAAAACCAAATGCAACATAAAATGTCTAAAAAAGCTGAAAAAAATGTGAAACATGGATTTAGAAAAACTATGGTAGGAGATATATTAGAAAAATCCAAAAACATGCAAAACATGAAATTAGGCCAGATGACAAGAAAAGTGCACAAATCATTGTAAAAAAATTATATACATAAATTTTTTACATTGATTCCATAATTTTTTTAGTTTTTTACTTCTTTATTTTTTAAAATTTGATTTAGGTGGACTGAGTTGGACCTGAGTAAGGGGCCCAGCAAGGAGCCAAGTACGAGTAACTTGGCCGAGTCCGACTAGACTCAGCCGAATTAGGATCATTATTTTAAATAGAACCAATTCCATCAATATTTTACTAATATGGTTCATTTCATGATGAGAACTAAGATATAATAATTTATACCTTAATTGACGGAATTCTTAGATATTTTGAAAAGTTTGATATACATTTTTGAAGTTCACATGTGTGTAGTTGATACAAAAAAAGAAACTAACTCTTTAAAATATAGTCATTGGTTAATAAACAAGACAATGCTCAAAAGAAATTGCTTTGGTATATGTATCAGTACGTGTTCTACAGTGGTACGACATGCAAACAGAACAATCAATTTAAAGTATTCTGAAATTTCCTTGGCCTGGTTTTAAGAGAAAAACCTTGGTAGTTTTACATTGGAACAATGTTTCAAAAAGTGCTAGGCGCCCGGGGGTTCTAGGTCGCTTACCTAGAACCTGGGCGGCCCTGTAGAATGAAATCTCTATATTCTAACAATATCATTATAATTATATAACACATAAGAGTTGGGATATAAGCCACATCAAATGTATAGTACACAAATCCACATAGCATACGCTCCTCCATACTCCATAAGTCCATAGTTTGATAGTCCACTAAATCTAGGATCAATGAGTGATGCTTAGATTAATCATATGGAAATCACCAAAACCTAATTTTTTAGGGTTTTTCTCTCTCTAAAATATCCTCCAATGTGGTTTAGCTTTCAAATGAATCTAAAATTACATTTTGCCCCTTTATACCCCTGTAGTCTAAAAAGCAAACAACAAAAATAAATGCCCCCTAGGCTTTGGCGAGGTGGCCTCCTAGGCACTAGGCGGTCCGCCTGGTCCGCATTTTAAAACGCTGCACTAGAATTTCTTTTACTGCCAAAACGAGAAAAACCATGAATATAACGAATGTATTGTTATGGTTGGTATTATTATTTTTATTGTTGTTATTATTATTATTATTATTATTTATTGTTGTTGTTATTGTTATTACTTATTCTATTGGTGACTAAGTGCTTGAAAAACTGTTGTACAGGGTTCTTGCAATACAGTAGAGTAAGAACATAATGCTTGGACTAACTACATATCAAAAGTAACATAACAATAGAAAGGAAACAATATACTTGGGCCTAAGAACTTGTGTATTACCAGAGAGTGAGCATTGAACTCTATTGTCGGGTGCCAATTGAAAATGAACGCACAGAAATTTGTTTCTGATATCAGGTTATAAGCTTCAGTTGATAGTTCTACAGGCACTATATTGCATGGTGCAATCGCCACGAAGGAACAACTAGTAAACACTAATATTTATGATCCATCACATTTGTTTGACCATGGTATCACCGGGGAACTAGCTTACTTGAGATGCTTTCTTAGTCCTTTATAATGTTTGTGACATCTCAATCTGTCATATATATTGTTTGTGGCAATTGAGTAAGCTATGATTTAATTTCTTTTGTCTCGTTTTGTTTTGGCCTGGTACTTTTGTTCTGGGTAGTTCTTTTTTTTAATCATGTTGCAGAATATTAATCAATTGTGGTTAGAATGTTAATCAATTTGTTTTTTTTTGTGTTAGAATATTAATCAATTGTGGTTGATTTAGGTTTGTTCCTTTATAGCTATATTTCTCTTCATTGATAAGACACGAAGTAGTTTTATCTTCCTTTGTATGATTTATAACTAGTGATATGCACCTTGTATGATTTATAACTAGTGATATGCACGTGCGTTGCACGTGAAATTACTTGTTAATTACAAATAATTCTTTATCGTGAAATTATATTTTAAAATGACGATCTATTATAGAGAGAAACAGAGACAGTTAAAACTAATTTTAATTACATAAGTAAATATATGATGTTAAAAAAAATTACATAAGTAAATATATTATTTACTTATGAGTAAATGTTATAAAATTAAATAATATGAAAATACAAAAATATGTCACATGATACTTATAGTAAACTCATAATAAACATGTATCTATTGCAATCAACTCTAATTATAATGGTAGGGAAAATTTTCTTTTCTCCTTTTCAATTTTATTTTGGAATTTGAAAATTATAAAGAAATACAGACAGAAAATGAAAGAAATAGAAAAAGAAAACAAAATTGAATAAAGAAAATCAGAAATTTGCTTTTGATTTAGAAATTTTTAATAATAAACATGTATCTATTGCAATCAAAACTAATCATAATGGTAGGGAAATTTTTATTTTTTCCTTTTCTTTTCAATTTTATATTGGATTTTCAAATTTATAAAGAAATACAGACAGAAATGAAAGAAATAGAAAAATAAAACAGAATTGAATAAAGAAAATCAGAAATTTGCTCTTGATTTATTGGAAATTATTAGTTTCTTCCTCAATAAATTTGCTTTTGATTTTGAGAGTAGCAAGCCCGAATGACTTCTAATAGAAGTGGATAAGTTGTTTGTCATATGATTAAATCAGCTGCATTGTTGGCATAATTTCATACATTGTTTAGCCTTGAACATGAGCCATCCAAATCAAGACAGTGTTTTGCCTCTTTTTTATGAGATAAAACTATGAAACCCATGTAAAGGTATAAAATATTTATTCTAAAAAAGAACAATTTCTAGCATTAAAAAAAGGAACCATAGCCTTAAAAAAACCATCCCACATACGTACATATTTTGGTTACATGCACTCAAAAAAGTTAGTACATGTCACCATGAAGTCAGTTCAACAATAATAATAATAGAAAAAAAAACAAAATAGAATGACAAAATAAATAGAAATAAACATACCTCTAAGATAAAACGCATCATCACCTTAGAGAGAAATAGATTATTGCTTGTACCGTGATTGAAAAATAAGAAATTAGATATATTAATCGTATCCATATAAAGTCTTTATCATAAGAGAGCAATAAAGGTGTGCATGTTTGAGAGACAGAGAGGCATGCATGTGAGTACTCAAGAGAAAAGACAGAGAGAATCCGCGAGAGAGATGGTTAAATAGGGAGAGAATACCTGAGAAAGAGAGTAGAAAGTCTCCAAATAAGTAAATGACAACTTAAATTTGCTTTTAATACGAGATGCATGTGGGAGAAAGCGTTGAGCGAAGAGTAATTTGCATGATTCAAGGAATAGATTTGCATGTATGTTATGGAGAGAGGAGCTGAGAGAATCAAGTAATGAATTTGAACGTAGAGAGAATGAATGAAGATGAGGTAGCTTTACACATAATAATATGGTGTGGGGAGAGAGAATAGTAATATTGGGTTACCTAAAAGAGTTTCTCATTATATAGATTAGGTGCTCTTTTCCAAAAAATTGAAATAAAAGGTCAGTCATAATATTTTAAAATTTAAAGTCGAAAATTGGAAGACAAAAATATTATAAAAAATTGATAAATTTAAGAAAACAAAAACAGTGAAAGAATATATAATCGTTTCCTTTTTTTGCAGTCACCAATATAAGTATTATTTTTTATTGTATGAATAGTATATAATTATCATAAATGAAACTATGATTAATATTATCATCATTCTAATTTTTGTTTTAATAAATTAAAATTATAAAATTATTATTTCTATGTTTCTATTATTATAATAATAAGTATTATTTATTCATAAATATGAATATAGTTATTGATAATTATTATGACATACTTGTAATAATTGTATAAAGAATTTTAGAGAGAGGGAGAGAAACCGATTTGGAGGAAGAGATGAGGAGAGGGACATGAGGAGAGAATAAATAAATTTTTACTATAGGAGAGGAGTTAAGTGAGTATAGGGGAGGAGAGAGAGGAGAGCTTTATTAGGAAATGAGTTATATGAGTATGGGGTAGGAGAGGAGAAAAAACGCGGGGTGAGAAGTTAATTAGGAAATATGATTTATGAATGAGAGAGATGAGTTACTAGGAAATATGAGTTATGAAAGTGAAAGATGAGTTACATGAGAAATTTGGAACACGTGCCCATATAGCTATTTTGCTGAAGTTTGTATTTCAAGTGTTGAAGAATCTGACACACCTCAGCCACTTTTCAAGAAAAGAATGTTTTAAGAGTTGGGCATTAGTAGTACTGCCTATCTATTGTATGAAAAAACGTGTACAATGCCTGTGTACAACTGCACTAGTTTTAGTTGCGATTATGTTTGGCGTTGGATACCAATTAGGTTTTAGATGATCCATAATTTGCCGTAAGAGTTGCATGATATATAGACTTGATGGATGTGGAATTTATGCATTTCAGGCTTTTGATGAGGCCATCTCAGAGCTGGACACTTTGGGCGAGGAGTCTTACAAAGACAGCACCCTTATCATGCAGCTTCTCAGGGACAACTTGACCTTGTGGACCTCAGATTTGCAGGACCAGGTATCTCTCTCTCTCTCACACAAGCATTTTCACCCTCTATCCCTTTCTCTCTCAAAATATATGCAGGATGGTGTTCGTCCCCCCCCCCCCCTTATATCTGTCTCTCTTAATGGTGTATTGAATTTTGGCAGGAGGATGGAGGGGACGAGATCAAGGAGGCCTCAACAAAGCGTGAATCAGGAGACGGCCAGTAATGAAAATACCGTCTTTCAAAACTTTGGTTTGGATTCAGAATGTCGAGTCTGTATTCTCTTTTGTTATAAAGTCTTAGCTTGAGTCTCTTTGCTGCTTGGTCCTAGTTTCACTCGGTATCATTTATTAGATAAATTGTGACACTCTTGAACGCATCTTGTAATGGTGGGTTCGCTTAGTTTGGCTTTTGACATAGCGTGCTTTATCTCATTCTTCTCTTTTATGCCTCATCTTCCACATATGTGACAGTTGAGTAATTATGATTAATTTGAGAGGAAGTATGTTTGAAAATTTGGCAGGATTTTGGCATTTGTGTCTATTACAATTTGTTTTCTTTGTTGCAATTTCGAATAAATCCTGATCTAATTTTGCTCCTTTTCCTAATTTTACCCCCTTGTCCTTTTGAAGTATATAATGAAAACCATGCACATTTTACTAAAATTTCAAATTATTTCCGAGTATACCTGCGGAGCTTTATAATCATCTGACCCGATCTGTATAATAATTTAAGATTATAATACGATTTATTAGAAGCATGGATTACTTCCTCACTTTTGCAAACTAAGGTGGATGTATATAATTGGTTAATCGTGAGATCCTCACTTCTGCAAACTAATGTGGATGGATACAATTGGTTAATCCTTAAAATTTTAATAACTTTTTAATTGAATTGGCCCACATATATAAAATTGGGAATAATAATATATATATCCAATATATTTACTGTTATTATGAGATTACTTTCGCGTCCACTCTCTGAACTGCTGTTCAGGTTGCAAGAGCACAACGGGTACCGTTATTGTGAAGGCTCTCTCCTGATCAAAGAGGGTCTCTAGTTGGCCTTTGCATTTTGGCGTGGGATTATGATGATGGGGTCGCCGGTTTTAGTTTGTCTTTTTTGGCCTGGGATTATGATGATGGGGTTGCCGGTTTTATTAGAGGAGGGACAGGGCCCGGGCTTTATTACAGGAGGGAGAGGGCCCGAGCTTTTTAGCCCCTCTTAGGAGGGAGAATTCTTTGGGTTGGGGGTGCAGGTGGGTGCCATTTTAGTTTTGTTGTTGTTCCCCTTTATATCTCTCTAGGAACGGAGAACGCTTATGGGTTTGCTTGTACATGCTAACTCTCTCTTCCCCTCCATGGAAACAAGCGTCTCTCTCTTCCCCTCCAAGGAAACAAGCGTCTCTCTCTATACTCAATCTCTAGTTCAGAATAAGCGTTTTTATTTTTCTTTATTCTCTGCACCATTTTGGTTTTAAAAAATCAAATTTAGTGTTATTTTGGTTTTTAAAAAATTGAAAATGCGCATTTCGATTTTTTTTTAAAAAAAAATTTGTTAGGATGGTAAAAAAACAGGTGTAGATATAAACAACGGAAACATGAAAGTGACTATGTAATAACAGTAAATATGATGGATATACACGTTATTTTCTCTACAAATTAAAATCTAATCAAAGGTCAGTAGCTCACGCTTTGAGAGGATTGAAACAAGTTCAGATAAAAATATCTGGATGTATAGTTTTATGAGTCCCGAGTTGTAGGCGTCCCTATTCGTAATCCTTTTGGACTTAATTTTTTAGGTATATATAATGTCAAACAGATAGATTATCAATATATAAAAAAAGTAAATTTCAAAACTAGAAAAAGTACTTTTTTGAAGAAAGTTTTTAGATCCCGATTTTTCTTTTTGGGGACCCCGTTTTTATGCGGCCAAGCCTTTGCATGTAAAAATACATGCCGTTTAATAGAGTTATTTTTGAGATGGAATTTAGGATTTAATTTTTAAGAAATTTAATCTCTAACGTGGAGATCATGAATATGAAAAAATAAATAAATTATGAAAAAATAAATAAATTTTAAAACTAAAAATAATAATTTTTAGTAAGAAAACATTTGGACCGTTTAATTTCCATTAGTTTTAAATAAAACACCTAATCGCATCCAGGTGAATGCTTTGCAGTTTTTAGACCCATATGTAGTCATGCGGTCCAGCCCGCCTGAGACAATTTTCCTAGGGTCTATATTCAACGTGCATTTGCGATGCCTTGCAGCGGGCACAAGCATGCAACATTTTAACGAAAAATAATGATTACGTGTGCCTGCAATAATTGTGTTAAACCTTCTCCCGACAACATAAGAATTGGCCACTCACAAATATTAATGTACTTGTCAATTTAAATAAAGAAAACAATGGTGGGGTTTGCATAAGATTGGAACGTTAAATACCTTTAACAATCGAAGTAAGGTAACATTAAAATTTTGTCATTAGGTGCAATTTTGTTGTCAGAAAATTTTTAGAATGTTTGGAGAATTTATTTGTTTTTCTTATTATAAATTTTAAACTTAAAAAATAGTTCAAATCAAGTAGATATATAAACATATGAAAATATTAAAAATTGACAGTCTAGATGATATCTTGTGTGATATACTATTTTTATAATTTTAATTTTTTTTTTTGAATATTCATAAATCTTGATGTCAAGATAATCAATGTGTGTATTGAATATTCATCTTAGTTGGTTTTTTAATGTGTTGAGGTACACTTTAATTCTATAAGGTGTCAACCCTTAATATAAAACTTTTTCCAAAAAACAACAGATTTGGTGGTTTCATCAATTTAACGATGCAGAATTTATTTAGTGCTAAACAAAAATGCTCCAAATGGAGATCCCCCGGAGATCTCTAGTCGTATTAGGTTCTTAGAAAACGATTTTTTTTTCTTTTTATACTTTGCTTATGAAGTGATACCAAGATGATATGAAAATATTCAGATAAAAAATTACTGATCTACTTTTGTAGGTAAATTTATCATTTATTGGTTGAAAAATTAGCTGAAAAAACGTAAAGATTGGATCTTAACATGATTGAAAGGAACCATGGTTCATCATTAATGGTATCAACTGGTGCATATTGCATGTTAAAAATGGGGTTTTGGTTGCACATAGCGAGTAGAGAAAGGAGCGAGGAAAAGGCAAAGGAGAAATATATGTCTTCGGTTTAAAACCAAATTATAACGATGCTCTAGCCTTTGAAATCGGAAATAAAGCCAGCTCCAATTCTTCCAAATCCATAGCCCTATTATTTGGATTTGGAATCGAAAAGTATATATGGGATTTTGATCCGAGTTTGGATATAGGTTAAAATAATATTTATATTACATTATTAAGCCAGAGTTAAAGGTTGGACACATGTTATAAGAATAAAAAAGACACTGATACTATAGAGGTTATAACGTAGTTGATTTATTATTAGGTCACATACACAAGTCGTAAAAATAAGAAAGGACACTAATACTGTAGAGGAAGGGACACTAATACTCTAGAGGTTATAAGCTAGTTGACTTATTATTAGGTCACATTCCAATCTTTGGGGGTTGAGGGAGAGAGATGTGTTTTAAAGTAAGAGATAGGCTTGGAGAGGATATTGATTGGATAAAGAATACGCAGAGAGGAAATTAAGAGAGAGAAATAGAGAGAAAATTATATAGATAGATTGACTTCTATCTTCATTCCTCATATTTAGGGAAGGAGGGAGAGAACTTTTTTTTAGGAAATTTATATGTTTATTTAGGGTATGTTTGACAAAATTGAATTTAAAAATTCAGATTTAATAAAGGCATTGCTAGGTTTTCTGTATATTAAGATTATATATTATCAGAATTCTATTTGTTAGTGCATGTTTAACTGCTCCCATATATTTGAAAGAGAAACAATGATCTTTCGTCTCTAGATTATCTGATATTAGTCTTCAACCAAAACCCGATTGAGTATTTCACTTGAACATTTGTTTTTTGCTTCTCCTTTCTTGAGAGACCACATCTTTAATTGCCTAACTGTCTTTAAGTGAGATTCTCCCTCACAATTACAGAGTCGTCGACTAAGTGAGAGATAATCTCATCCTCAGGATTCTTAATTGCCTTTAAGCAAGATTCTCGCTCACAATTACAGAGTTGTCGATCGAATGAGAGAAAATCTCAGCCTCATGATTTTCTATTGGAGCCTGGAAGCCTAAAAACCTAACAAAACCAAATAGTATCCCTTGTTTAAGACCTTAATTTGTCTCTCCAAACTCATTGATGCCCTAATGGATATTTTCCATGCCTTTTTTGATAAGATATTTACCCAACTAATACTCCTTTCGCATGCTGTACGACACTTAAAATGTGTAATTATTTTGAACCATAATTACGATAATAAACTACCGTGATTGTTTTGACCCATACCATCAAACAACATTTCCCGGGTGACCGACTATCCCCATCATAAAAAGCACCATAACCAGATATATGTTCGATCTGATTGCTAGAAATTATTCCTATGCATTTTTGTATCAATTGGGTATAAACTACGAAGATCTGGGGTTCCTTGTTGTGATGGAGATTTGGGTCTTTTAGCTTTTCGATTAGAGGGGTTTTCATCTTTCTTTTTTGAATTACATTGGTTTTTAGGTAGTAAGATTGGTTTTCCTGAGTAACTCATGACATGAAATTAGGGAGAGAGAATAGAATATTTTCATGAATATTTAGAAAGTTTTAGCATTTTACGTCTATGGAAACTGGTGAGCACGTAGGTTTGATGAGGTTGGTTATGACTCATGATATTTGATATCTGAAATTGGAGAGAGAATGAAATCTATAATGAGTACCTGGATTTTCATGGCTCCTTGGGTGTGCAAAATTGGGAAAACTTCCAATTTTGTTTAGGCCCTCCATCATCAAATCAGACGAAGTGAGTGAATGAATTCCATGGCGGCTATACGTTTCGTAATGCTCTCGAATTTCACAAGGGCAGAAATCCACATAGGACATCTCATCAAATAACAGTTTTGGGATCTCTTAGGAGCGTTTTTCTTTTTTAAAGATATCTTGTAGAAAATTGAATGTTTTGTTATGAAATGTTTAAATAAGCTCTAGGTATTGTGTTTGATAACCACTGGAATCTTCATAAAGTTTTAGGAATCTTTATAAAGTTCTAGGTAATGTGTTTGATAAATATATATATATATATATAGAAAAACACTACGCAATGCCTATAGGTGAAAATGAAAAGTGATTTCGCCTATCTCTATCACCGTCCAAAGTTCATCATGCGGTAACGACTTTTCGATAGTATTTTATTTTTTATTTTTTTCTACAAATTGGAATGACCTGAAATTTGGAGCATGTATTCATAAAAAATAGGGGAATCTTCAAAAATTATAAAACAAATATTTTACATGAAAAAATGGACCAAAATACCTTCTAAATGTTTCAGGGGTATTATGGTCAATTTATTTTTATGGATAATTTTTTTATATT